TACTGAAGTTGATGATAACTTGTATTTTTCTGGCAATTACTACCAAACAAATATTCCATTTTTTTGAATTCCTTGTGATTCAAAACTTCTCAATATATACAGGGTAACTGATGAAAATATATCTTTATGTGATGAACAGATGAGTGTCTCTCTGATTTCCAAAAAGATGTTGAAATTGCCTTTTGGCACTGAATATATTTTAGTTCCACTTATCCATTGAATCTGGAATTTTTGTTGTACTAATAGTATCTAGGGGCAAACAATTCTCATAATAGTGTACACCATATTCAAAATAATAAGTATTCGTGATTATTTATAAAATAAGGTAAGTGACCCTAAATTAGACAGTGCCCCTAAATCAGACACATTCTGAGTTATTTAAATTTAATAAAAAAACTGTAATCCTAAACTGCCTCAATTCTTGCAAAGAGTCATCTAGGAATATTCAGAAAAAGTATAGTTTTACAGAAAACTATATTACCCACATCCTCCATATTTGATTTAACCTCAAAGTGTATGTGGTTTGACTCTTCAAAACGATAATTCAGTAGTGTTTGATTTCTTATAAGGTAAGTACAAAACGGCTCATCTTTGAAGAATTGATAAATTGCGAATTTTCCTTAGAATGTTGCAACGAACGTATATTCTGATTTCAAAGGACGAATATTATCCATTATTACATGTTTTTGTTGAGTTGAATGACTATTTTTCAAAAATCTGATGGTGTCGAATTTGAGTACATCACATTAAGCCATTGTCCAAATTTCGTCATCCAAGTGTCGAATATATGTACTCAAGAAATCACATGGAAATATTCCTGTCTTTTTCAGATCATATTTCGAACAATTGGATATCCAATATATCGGTCTTTGTTTTATGAATTCCATTTAGTCATAAATTCGACAGGGGTGTCGAAATTGTGTCTATCTCTGAACGTAATTTCGACACTCTTTGAAAAGTCTTGTATCCAATCGTTTATAATTGTAGGTGAAAGGAAACTATGCCGGGCGACAAAAAATATTGCAAATACTCCAAGGAGGATGTGAAAAATGCCCTTGAAGCAATTAAACATGGGGTGTCATGCTCAACAGCCGCCAAACAATACCGTGTTCCCAGAACAACTCTTATAGGAAAAAAATCTGGAAAATATCCAGTAGAGTGCAAAAGTGGTGTTGGAACTATTCTTACAGAGAATGAAGAAGATCTTTTATACAAATGGATCATCAATATGGCAAGGATGGGCTTTCCGATAACCAAGACTCAGCTAATCGACAGTGTAGCTATTTTGGTTGATAAATTGAAACGAGGCCATAATTTCCATGAGGGGCGTCCAGGACGTCAGTGGTATGAGGGGTTCCTGAAAAGGCACCCTGAAATCAGCAACGCATGAGTCAAAATTCGTGTGCATCTAGAGCTGCGGTGACTGAAATCAAAATCAAGAATTGGTTTCAAGAAATTCAGAACTATTTTCATGATGAGGGCATCGATATTACTGAGCCAGAAAGAATATTCAACTCTGACGAGTCAGCTTTTTTTCTGTCCCCCAAGGGCAGCAATGTGTTGGCTCCAAAAGGCTGTAAGACTGTTTATGATCGATCTGGTAACGACAAGGAATGTCTCACTATTCTCATAACAGGTAAGCCGGAGCAATAGAATTCTCTTTTACGAATATTTGTTAACTGGTCAATATTTCAGGAAATGTAGCAGGAAAATTGGCACCTACCATGATAATGTATCCATACGAACGTATTCCCAAACACATCGTAATGAAGGTTCCAAGTGGCTGGGGAATTGGAAAGTCTGGGAGCGGATGGATGACTGCCGAATCTTTTTTTGGATACATCACAAATATATTTCATCTCTGGTTAATTCGTCAACAGATCCAATTCCCAATTATTCTTTACGTTGATGGCCATAAGTCTCACTTAACATCACCACTGAGTGATTTTTGCCGAGAAAAAGGGATTATTCTGATCAGTCTATTGCCAAACTCAACCCATATTCTCCAACCTCTAGATGTGGGGCTATTCAAGTCTTTAAAAAATAGCTGGAAGAAAAGGGTGAGGAAGTTTAGAACTGAGGAGGGTCAGAAAGCTTTGAATAGAGAAAATTTCGCACCAGTTCTGAAAGATGCACTAAATGAACTACATAACATTGAAAGTATATTCAGCAATGCTTTCAGAACTTGTGGACTCCATCCATTCAATGTGATGAATGTTGATTTTAGTAAGGTTTTATTAGGAAGCGAATCAACCCAACATGACAATCAAAATGATCTGAACACGGTTGACCAGACTATAGTAGCTCATTTGCGATTTTTTGAAAATGTAATAGAACCAGATATTGTTCGTAAATTTTATGCTCTGAAGGGCATCGAGTGGTCCGAAGATCTTGAAAATAAACAACTTTATTTCACATGGTACAAAATTTTCAAAATGTCAGGATTGGAATTTGCCAATGAGAAGACTAATGTAGTCATGGGAGATGAGGCAAACAATAAACCATTGGAAGTTGTAGAAAATGTTGTTATCGAGATAGAAAACGGATTACAATTAGAAGAAGGATGGGAGAACATGTTGGTTCAAAATATTGATTTAACTGAAAATAGATCTCTAGAAATGGATAATAAAACTGAAGATACATTTATGGAATCAGAAAATAATGAATTAGTATATCAGTTGATAGAAAAAGGGCAAGAAGTAAAACCGTCTGAAGAAGTTCACAGAACTATAGAGTGTGAAAAAGTAAGTGAGTTGCAAAATGTCAAAATATACTTCTAAATGATTTGTATTTTTAGCAAGCAGACCAAAGCCACTTGGCACCTCAAGGCGAAAGTTCATCTGAAGAGATAAATGGTAAAGTACCTGACGTAAATGAAAAGGAATCGTCGATAGAAACCGAGTTAGAAAACAGGACAACAACCTCACAATTACAAGAATACATAAATGAAACAACACCTGAAAAAACTGACAGAGATGTAACTACTGATAATACAGGGATTGACGAAAATGCTACTGAGGCTCTGAATGGAAACAACAAATACCAAAAAGTTCTTCCCGGAGTTATTGTTCCATCACCATTCAAAACTGCGCTGTTTTGGCCAGAGCCAACAACATCAAAAAAATGTAAAATAAAGAAGGAAAAAGTACCGTCCGCGATGACATCAGAAGCCTGGAAAGCATACTATGCAAAGAAAAACGACGAAAAACAGAAAAAAGAACATAAAAAAGAGGAACGAAACCGCAAAAGGGATGAAAAGAGAACAATGGCTAAAGAAACCACCGGCAAGAGAAAAAAGCGATCAAATAAAAACAATGAAGAAAATAAGGAAAATGAAAACAGTGGAAATAAGGAGAAGAAGAACGTTGAAAATGAAGATAGTCAGAAGTCTGAACTAGCAAATGATCAACAAACAATTGAACCTGTTATACCTGAAACCAAAGTAAACGATTATGTTGTGATAACGTATGTACAGGAACTTTACCCAGGCATTATCACGGAAATCAATGACAACGGCGTGAAGGTGAAGACTATTTGTAAGAGTGGTCCCAATCATTGGAAATGGCCAAAAGATGATGACGAAATCTGGTACAGTTTAGAGGAAATTGTAAACAAAATCGGTCCACCAGAGCAAGTCAATAAGAGAAATGTTTTTGAAGTCAAAGAACTTAACAAGACCATTGCTTGAAAATGGAAATCTCAATTCTGGAGTTTTGTTTGAATGAATAGCATTTTTGAAAAAATTCTCATTTTTTTATGAACAGGCTGAAATTGATGTTTACTTTTCAAGGTTTGTATGTAATGTCCCTCCTGGATTTTTTTCGCACTATTTGTTCTGCACATTGATAAAACATCAGATGAATAACGGAATGTCTGAATCAGGTACGTCTTATGTCGGATTTAGAAACACTGTCGGAAATAGGCTCAAATCTCGTCGAAATTAAGGCCAATCTGCTCCGATTGCTGTCGAAATTGCGTACGATGGTATTATCATCGGAAACATTATTTTCCTGCAATTCTGAATATTCTAGAGGTCTGATCGAATGATATCTTCGATAAATAGGTGACAATGAGAGCTACATAAAATTTTTCAACTCGCAAGGCTATTTCAATAATAATAATGATGTAATAAAATTCCCTCTATTCTTAAACTGTCTGAAATAGGGTCACTCACTTATTTCAAAAATATTCAAAAGTAATGCATTGGAGATTGAATTAGTACAGTGATTAAAAGGTAATTAAAATAATATACAAAGTCATCAAAACAATAAGGAAGTATTTGTCAGTTGTACTATGAATTGATGTTCATGATACAGGGTGGAAACAATTCTGAATTGAGAAAACCCAACTATGACTCTGTGATTAGATGTCTGAAAAAGCAAATTCATTCCATTGTTCACGTTTGTATTGGGTATGCAAGTTCAAAATAAAAAAGAAATTGAATGAACAAGAATTCAAACATACACCATATTTGAAGAGTTGTTTGCCCTTATGAAAAGTATGTAACTTTCAGATCAAACAAGTTCAGTGCAATTTTTTCTATTTTTTCGCTTTTGATTCACCTGTCTATGCATGTCTAAGGTGAAGGTTATGTTAGTTCTGTTCTGTATGGAGTTATTGGTACATTATTTTTTCAATCCATTGTTTTAATTGTATACAATATATGTCTTTTGAGAAAAAACGATAGTTTCCAGATTCTTCAGGAGTACCGTCGAAAAAGCTTATTTTCTGAATATTGAAAGCTCTTCTTTTATTTATCCACTGTGTTTATGACTTGTTTTTCATTCCAAAGTGTTCATGCATTACTCATTACATACTATTGGAGGTAGGGAGGCAGTAAAAGAAGAGTTGTGAAGGGTGCAAAGACCAATAATATTGTCCTCTTCAAATTTATATTCAAGATCCAAAATACTCTGTTTTTAAATAGAAATGGTTTCTAATTCATAATATTTGATGCCACCAGCTTTTTTATAATAGTAAAGAATAAAATCAGGAGTAAAATGAAACCATATGCTGTGGTATATTTCACCAAAGAAGACATGTACTCAGAAATTCCAACAAGTTGGTTGCAAAATAATGATGCTGGCTATTGGCCCAATTCAATGAATCCATGTAAATTGATGCAGAAAGGAGTGGAGCCAGACAAAGAGAATTGGGAGGTTCATCAGTTGAAAATTGTGGGTTTTAGTGGTAAGTGATTTCGATAGTTATATTTATCAATACCTGAATTAATAATCATGATCATTGAATATTGATGTTTCACAATAGTCTCAACTATGATTTGGAAAGTAATATACTAAATTTACTTTGTTTACTCATGCCAAAAACCAAAATCTGGTATGCTGGAATCTGCAATCATTGTCATCAAAAAGGATTTAAAAGAAATAGTTATTGCAAATACATAAACACTGCCACTAGGTAGATAGATAGATTAATAAAATTACTCAATTCCAGAGACTTTGGATGGTGCTCGCAAAAAAGCAGCAGATTCCGAGTACAGCACTAGTAATGAAGACAGTCAAGATGCTGGAAGGGGAAGAAGAAGAAAGAATCCAACTGACAGGATGAGAAATTTCGTGATTAGTAGCTCTGAGGAGGAGACAATGACCCCTCCTCCATCACCAAAACAAACAAACATTCAAAAACCTATTTCACCTGATATTAACAGCACTGATGATGAAGATAATCCTAATAATGTTGAGGTTGTTGCTGAAGGTAACTATCTAGTGAAATATTCTTGAAATTATAGAATAGCAATTTTTTCAAAAATATTCTAATCACATTTGATGGAAGCCTTCATATAGACTGAATAGATTGATTTTGTTCTCTTCAAACTTCTGTTTTCAGTCTAAAGGGTTAGTTTAATTGAATCCTTTTCACACTTGTGATTTGAAAGGCCACCTCCCAGGCTGTCATGTAATAATCACTATCTTGGTTTTACTCACAAATCGTTAATTTTTCCAGGTCTTTTAGGTGGTGCTCGAAAGAAAACTGTATATCTCATTGAAAAACCTCAAAAAGAGAGCCATAATATGAAAAAACAAGTTTCAACTCTCAATAAAAATAGTTTTGATTTGAATCAGACACCAACACCCCCATCACAAAATGAAAAAAGTGAATCAGAGATACAGATTGATAATTTTGAGGATGTTGAAGGTAAAAACCAAATTGGAGCATAATTGGTTTAAAAAAAACACATCATTCTCATGTTATTGTTAATTATTAATTTTCCATTTTAGGACCAGCCATAACTTTGGAGACATTAAATCAGGAAATTGGTAATACATTTTTTTTACTAAAAAAATGAACAACTAATACTGTATGTTTCAGTTAAACTGGGAACCATTTGTTTATCTAACAAAAAATCCTTGAATTCAATATATACCAGGGTGAATGATGGGTATGGACAGCCAAATAATCATGACTCCTAGAAGTTGAAAAATCTTCCAATGAAAACCCTTGATTAAATTCAGGAGTTTGAACTTCAGACAGAGCAGGATGACAATGTTAAAACTTCTTTGGTAAATTGTTTTTACTAATTCAAGTCCTATGATATGCTGTACACTTTTTTCTTTCGTTCAGAGAATCAGAGGTAGCACACACTTCAGTATGCTTAAATCTTTTCACTTATTTCTCAATTAAGATCCTGTGATCAGATATCTTATTCCTCTAGAGAGAAAGTTCGAGAAATTTAAAAATTTCATTAGGAAAACTGACGAATTGAATTTAATATACTTACATTTTAGGTCCATCTTTTCAAATCTTTGGGTGGAAGAGATGGAAAAGACCATATTCATAGATGCCTCGCCCAATTATTCACAAATGAGCTGGCTACACAGTGTTCATGGTTTGGACAACGGGGAAACTTTAAAATCAAAGATCTGCATGCAATCAAATTATTGACAGGTAATATATTTCAAACTTTCATTGCCGACCAGTCATTATTATTAATAATGTTTTCAGAGAGTATTATTAGCATTCATTCACCAATATCATACGCTGATATTGAAAAACATGCAGGGGAATGGTTTAGATTGAGCCATCAAAGGCTTAACAGGGAAATGGAGAGAAAAAATGCTGGGATAGCCAATGAATGATGAACACTGAAATTCTGATTTTTAATTTTAATGCCCAACAAATTGTGGCTATGCAATGGAATAGTATTTTGTTTTTATTTGATGCTGACTGACAGATGACAAACAGGGATTATTGTTATTTTCTTATTATTGTTCATTTTAATGCCCAACAAATTGGGACTATTCTTTCCAATAGTTTATTTTTTTGTTTAATGCTGACTGACAGATGACAAACAGAAATTATTGTTATTTTTTTTATAAATGCCAAATGTAAATTATCATAAGTTTCTTTGGAGTTTAATTTCCGTTTATTTTCATGAGGCTCATTCAGTAGGTGTTATATTCAAAATAAACTACTCAACACTAATTTCGTCGCACACCAAAATGTCGCTTCTGTTATAATGTGAATAACTTTTCTCAGTTTAGAACAATTTGAATTTGGTTCACACTGTTCGATAGCCCAGTCCTTCAGCTATAATCTCGTACTTCATTGAAACATAAGGGTATTCACATAAAATCTCTACATGATGTTTTCCGACACTGTGCGAAATTTCGGAATATTCAAAAGGCTCTCAAATGGTGAAAAGAATGTTTTTCCCAACTTCGACAACAGAGGCATGAAAATGATCTCATTACCTCGAGATATTTCGCGAATCAACTTCCTATCTCTCTTATTTACGACAGGGTGATCTCAAAAAATCAACTTTATGGTTATGCAGACATAACTTTTTTTACGTCAACCGATTTTGAAAATCTTAGGCTCATCTTGAAGATAAAACTTCAGATGAAGAGATCTGAATATCAGAATTGACTCAAGATGGCTATCAAAGATCGAGAGTTTTCTTGAAAGTGACCCAAATCTGGAACGCCCTTCGAATCTTGGTTGGGAGGAGAATTGAATGAAAATCAACTTGTTCTCGGAAAAACAATTCATTCTGGATGCGTCCATATTTTCCTCGCTCTCAGTAGTCAAGAATTGTGCGTGAGAAAACACAATTGAAACATGTTCTTGCAAAAACATTAGATCATTTCTACTCTGTGATGTGTTCTCTCACGCACATTCTTGAGTACTGAAAGCGAGGAAAATATCGTCCCCCTTATCACGTAGGGGCGTGAATAACAAGAAAGTGCAAAATTGAGTTACGCCGGGAATAGACTTTCTTACAATGCACTTTTCATCTGACGAAGTGGCGTAACTGTATCTCTTCTGATTCCGTCACAAACAGTACGTATGTTCATGGCGTATCTGCCGTTGTCAATACAGAGAACTTCACGTAGAGACGTAAAATAGATACGCCTATACGTGTGACAAAATATTTGCTATAGTGCCGATCAACCTGATGAGGCGTAACTGACATCACCTGTTTCATAGTATGCAATTATAACCTCAAAATAGTGTATTCCATTGTCTCCAGTTCGTTTGTTTATGTTGCTCAAGATGGACGTGCTTGTACGTTGGAGAGATGGTTCGAAGAATGTGGTGTCTTCTGCAGAGCTCAAAACTGTCAAGTGTGATTTGATAAGTGTAGGATGTACTGTTGAAATGTCGTACAAGAAACGGTGGTATTATGGTACAGTTTTGGCAGTTGAAATGATGGAATTTGATTGTAAGGAACCCATCAGCTTCGATTCTGAAGATGATATACCACTAGTACAATTCAAAGAACTGCAAAACGCGTCGCAGTCTGCCGACAGAAATAATAATGGAGATTTTCACACAAACAGAAGTTATTCACCCATGGACTTCGATTGTGAGGAACCCAGCTTCGATTCTGCAGATGATATACCACTAGTACAACTCAAAGAACTGCAAAACGCGTGGCAGTCTACCGACAGAAATAATAATGGAAATCATCACACAAACAGAAGTTATTCACCCATAGACGATCCTGACGTAGATCATCACACAAACAGAAGTTATTCACCGATAGACGATTCTGACGCCGATCCTACTGTTACCTGTAAAGTTGTCACCTGTGGATCTGAAGTTTTTTCTTCCTGTCCCAACTGCCAAATTTTATTATGTTTCAAACATTTCGATGAAGATCTCAGAAGCTGTAATCATGGTCGAAAAAACACGGAAATCAGGTTATCTGTGGAATCTGACAGAGGTGTTTTTCACGATGAAACCCAAAATTATATGGAAAGACGTACTGCAAATAAACAACCTATGCCAGAATCTTTCTTTTAAGATGGCGAGGAAAGAGAAGGTGAAATCAAGCCTCGAAAAACGAATAAACAACAAGTAGCCAAATCATTGCGGAATCGCGGTGAGTACTGATATTATTAATTGGAAATGGGATTCGAGAATATAATTTTTTTTTAATTTCAGGTCTGGAGTATATAAGTCCCAATACCAAGAAATCTGTTCCTGCTCGATTTATGAGAAACCGTTGTAACTCAGCAACATGCAAAGTTTACGGAAAAAACTGTTTTAAAATTAGCGATGAACAGCGACATAAAGTGTTCAATAGTTTTAATAGCTCTGGTGACTTACAACTTCGAAGAGAATTTTTGGCGAGGCATTTGGAAGTTAGAAAAACAAGAAGAACTACGACCAATAAAGAAAATTCTAGAAGGAAATATACCATAATATACAAGCTGACTGTAGATAATGAGGCTATAGTTGTGTGCAAAAAATTATTTTTGAATACATTAGGAATCACAGAAAAAATGTGTAGAACAGCTCTGTCCAAGATAAATGATTCAGGTGTGTTGGAAAAAGGCAATAGGGGCGGCAGACAGAGAAGTGCAGAAATACAGTTGAAGGAGGGAAATGTGCGTGATGCAATAGAGCAACACATACAGAGATTTCCGAGAGTGGAATCACACTATTGTCGTTCAAAGACTACGAGAATGTATCTTCATCCAGATCTTTCTTTAAGAAAGATGTATGCAATGTTCCTCGAAGATTTGGAAATACAAGGACAAGTTGAAAATAAGGCAAGTTACAGTCTGTACAGAAAAATTCTCAAGCAGAAAAACTTATCATTCTTTTCGCCCAAAAAAGATCAATGTTCCCTATATATGACTTATTGTAAAGGAGACGAAAATACGAAAAATAGTTTGAGGGACAGATATACCACTCAAATTCAAGAAAAAACCACTGTCAGACAGATTAAAACAGAATGTAAAAGAGAGGCTCAAGAAAATAAATTGAAATTATGTGGAGTAGTTGATTTGCAGCAAGTTATATATCTGCCTATTTCAAAGGAAAGCGTAATTTTTTATAAAAGCCGATTGTCAAATTTCAACTTCACATTTTACGATCTTGCCAATAAGGAATGTTTCTGTTTTGTCTGGCATGAAGCCATAAGTAAACGTGGTTCCTCAGAGATTGCAACCTGTATTTACAGGGTCTTAGAAGAATACAACAAAAGATCCATAAGAAGTGTTACTTTATTTGCTGATGGATGTTTTGGGCAGAATGAGAATTCTATAATTCCAGCGATGTTAATGTATTCTTTGACTTAATTATCATCTTTAGAGGAAATATCTCTACGGTATTTTGAAACCAATCATGGCCAAAGTGAAGGTGATTCAGCACATAGTGCTATTTCCAGTGCGATTTCTGCTGCAGGAGACCTTTACATTCCTTCCCAGCTTCATCCTATAATTCGTTTAGCACGTAGAAAACAGCCATATTGTGTTGTGCCAATGAGTTATGGTGAGTTCAAAGATTTTAAGTCGTTTTCAAAAAAACTTCGAGTTTTGACAATTAGAGAAACCGAAAGAGGCAATGTTATGAAATGGCCGGATGTTATGGAAGTAATGGTCACCAAACAATACCCAAAGAAAATATTTTTCAAGACCAGCCATCTTGATACAGCATACGACTCCATTACTCTGAAACGTTTGAAAGAAAATATATCCGATATACAGCTCACAACATTGAATTCTGAAGCACCGAAGATAAAAAAACGAAAATATGAAGATCTCATGTCATTGTGTAAAGGAGAAACACCTGTCGTTAGACTGCCAGAGTTTCAAGAATTTTTCAGATCGTTGCCTCATGACCAAGAGTGAATAAATCGTTGTATTTTTTTTGTAATATTCACCAGGACTTTGTCATACTTTGTTCTTTTCCTATTATAACAATAATTACATATTTAGGTTTCATGAAATCTGTGTCTTTTACGACTCTCATACTTTGATTCCGCTATTATTATAGTAGACCTATCTCACAGAACCAAATGAATGCATTCTCACGTATGGGCGTATATGCAAACTTTTTTGTATAAAAAAAAAACAACAACTCGTACATTTCTTATACAACAATCAGTATGAGGAACATATTGTTCCTGTTGTAATGCTAAGATATTATTTTGAAATATTACAAATTAAGAAATGTAGGGCGATGCAATTATCATCCATTTTCGTTTTTTCTCTCTCCTGTAAAATATTCAGAAATCAGATTCGCCCCTACGTGATAAGGGGGACGATATGGACGCATCCAGAATGAATTGTTTTTCCGAGAACAAGTCGATTTTCATTCAATTCTCCTCCCAACCGAGATTCGGAGGGCGTTCCAGATTTGGGTCACTTTCAAGAAAGCTCTAGATCTTTGATAGCCATCTTGAGTCAATTCTGATATTCAGATCTCTTCATCTGAAGTTTTATCTTCAAAATGAGCCTAAGATTTCCAAAATCGGTTGACGTGGAAAAAAGTTATGGCTGCAAAACCGAAAAGTTGATTTTCTGTGAATAAGAGAGATAGGGAGTTGATTCGCGAAATATCTCGAGGTAATGAGATCATCTTCATGCTTCTGTTGTCGAAGTTGAGAAAAAAAAAATTCTCACCATTTGAGAGCCTTTTGAATATTCCGAAATTTTGCACAGTGTCGGAAAACACCATGTAGAGATTTTATGTGAATACCCTCATGTTTCAATGAAACACCAGATTATAGCTGAAGAACTGGGCTATCGAACAGTGTGTACCAAATTCAAATTGTTCTTAACTGAAAGAAGTTATTCACATTATATCAGGGGCGACATTTCGGTGTGCGACGAAATTAGTGTTG